TACATATATTAGTTTAGTATTATTTGTAAATCATTATTATATAAAAATATAACTTTTTTTTTTGTTTTGATCACTATAATATTCAAATATATGATAATTCAAAAGTATCATCACTTTAAGAAATTGCGAAACATAATTTTAACTAAATTTTTAAATTTTGTTACTTAACAATATTTTAATATTGGGCATAGATTTTCGCGCATCGCGCGTACAAAATGCTAGTTTTAAAATAAGCATGATAATGTAAAACATGCATATACTGGGATAATGCTTGAATGAATGTATATACTGGATGAAAAGATTGATTACAAATTTATTGTTTGACCGTGATCATTATATTACAATCAAATAATGATTTTATAATTTTTTGAATACATGTACTCAATGTAAAATACGATTAAAAATGTTAAAAATTCAATAAATGGAGAAAAAAAGTTAAATTAAACATTGAACACTAAATATTCTAAATAATACCATGACAAATTTTTAAATCTTCTAAATATTCTAAATATTCTGAATGAATGTATAATACCGTGTAAATTTTTAAATTTTGTTACTTAACAATATTTTAATATTGGGCATAGGTTTTCGCGCATCGCGCGTACAAAATGCTAGTTTTAAAATAAGCATGATTATGTAAAACATGCATATACTGGGATAATGCTTGAATGAATGTATATACTGGATGAAAAGATTGATTACAAATTTATTGTTTGACCGTGATCATTATATTACAATCAAATAATGATTTTATAATTTTTTGAATACATGTACTCAATGTAAAATACGATTAAAAATGTTAAAAATACAATAAATGGAGAAAAAAAGTTAAATTAAACATTGAACACTAAATATTCTAAATAATACCATGACAAATTTTTTTTAATCCCTGTTAAAAAATTGAGCATGATAATGTTAGAATGCATGTATGAGATGCAAAATGCCATTACAAATTTATTATTTGACCGTAATCATTATTATCAACGATTGTATAATTTCGTGAATGATGCAAAATAGCATTCAAAATTTTAAAAATACAATATCTGGAAAAAAAAAAGTAAATTAAACATTTAACAGTAAATAAGAATAAATAATACCTCCACATCTTCTATAACAGATTCTAAAATTGTTGTGGTATAAGCTCCTTGATTGTTCTTGACCTCGTAGAGTCGAATCAACCGTATCCTTATTGCTCACGCACTGCAGACGCTTATGGCATTGAGTTGAACAAAAGTTGGGGCCATTACGTGCAGCTTATTTGACTATGGCTAAAACAATAACAGATACAATAGCGGAGGCACGATGAATAATTGTGGTGGTAGAGGCACGGTAAATATTTATAGAAATAATTGTCTTATATAGTAGTAACGAAAGTAAAGTAAATAAGGTAATAACATCATTGTTATTATTATTATTATTTCCGCCATCATGGATTTGGTGTAATATATTAAGAATATTTGGATGCATATATAATTATTTTAATTAGAACATCAAATACTCTATATTATATAATGCAATTGAAAATGTAGTTTGGATCATTTGTGTGTTTTGATGTTATCATTGCTTGAATTTGAGCAAATAATTGCTCAAATTAATAGGTAATGTGTAGATGTATGCATGCGGTGCTCTAACTTTGGAGATTTTATTTGTCATTGTTTAGTATTTTTTATAAATCATGCAAATGTGCTCGTTCTCTAATAACTCAGTTATAGGAATGAATTGCTATCTTAATTCATTTATATGTAAGATATATATTTTTTTTGTCTAGATATATAGTAATTTTGTCATTTAAAAAAATATAATATCAACGATTGTATTTACACATTATTGAAATCTCTTTGTAGACGACATTAGTAGTAGCAACACAATCTCGTCCATTAGTAATATCGTATTTATTTTCAGTCAATTATTATTTTTTTATTTTCAGTCAATTAGTTAATTAGCCAATTAGAATATCAGATGCAGTGAAATTTTTACCCAATTTTTGTTCCATTTTTAATTGACGATGTAGAATATTATTAACATTTATGTTCCATTTTTAAGTATCACTGCATTTTTAATTTACCTTTACTATTGTTTAAAATATGCATTTACTATTGATGATGTAGAATATTATTATTGAAATATTTCTGTTCCATTTTTAATTTTCATTTCATTGTTTAAAATTGTGAAAGATTTATGATATAATTGTGATTTGATGTATTAGGCTATGTAATATTATTGTGAAAAATTAAAATTCAATGACCTGATCATTTCCTTTTACATTTTAGTCAATTATCGATCATTTTTTTCAATTAATTATTAATATTCATTTTCTTTTTTAAATTAACCTAATTTACGCGTTTATAATATATATTGATTATTATTAAGATAAGCAATTAAGGCGTTTGATTGTTAGCTTATTATTATTATTATTATTATTATTATTATTTTATTATTATTATTATTATTATTATTATTATTATTATTATTATTATTATTATTATTATTATTATTATAGTAGTAGTAACGTAATAATGTAATAGGATTGCCGGCAAATTGGAGAGGATTTAATAATATTATTATTATTAAGGTAAGTAATTATGGAGATGATTGGTGTCAATAACGCCCTATTTTGTAAGTAAGACGGATCATCAAGTAAATGTTTGAATGCATTTACTGGATGCAAAGATTTTAAAAATACAATAATTGGAACAAATTAAATTAAACATTGTACACTAAATATTGTAAATAATACCAGTACAAAATTTTTAAATCACAGGTAAAAAATTGAGCATGATAGTGAAAGAATATATGTACTGGATACAAAATACCATTACAAGTTTATTAGTTGACCATAATCATTATTATCAATGATTGTATAATTTCATGAATGATGCAAAATATCATAAAAATAAGCATATTGTTACACTGAGTCTATTATATATTTTTAAAATAGAATAAGGGTGTGTTTGGAAACCTGGAAAATGAGTTCTGGAAATCATTTTCCAAGTTTTCAGTGTTTGGATGTGCCTGGAAAATCAAGTCAACGGAAATCATTTTCCGTTGACTTTGGAAAATAGGCTTGTTTTGGAGGAAAATGACTTCCCCTTTTTTTGGGGGGAAGTCATTTTCCAACTTTTACACCAACATCACACCACCACCAACATCATCAACACCATACCACCATCACCACCACTATTGCCGCTGCCACCACCACTATACCCCCGCCACCATCACACCCCCACCACAACCACCACCACACCACCACCTTCACACCACCGCCGCCGCCACCACCACCACCATACCACCGCAACCACCGCCGCCGCCACCACCACCACCATACCACCGCAACCGCCATCACCACCATACCACCGCAACCACCGCCACCATACCACCGCAACCACCGTCGCCGCCACCACCACCACCACCACCATACCACTACAACCATTGTCGCCGCTACCACCGCCACCACCACCATACCACCACAACCACCATCGCCACCACCACTACCACCATACCACCGCCACCGCCATCACCACCATACCACCGCCACCACCACCACACCACCGTCACCGCCGCCGCCGCCACCACCACCACCATACCACCGCAACCACCGCCGCCACCACCACCACCATACCACCGCAACCACCGTCGCCGCCACCACCACCGCAACAACACGACCACTGCCACCACCGTCATACTACTACCACCATCACACAAACACCACTACCGCTGTCACCGCCACCACCAGCATACTACCGCAACCACCGTCGCCGCTGCCACCACCATACCACAGCAACCACCGCCACCACCATCACACCGCCGCCGCCGCCGCCGCCACCTCCACGACCATACCACCGCAACCACCACCGTCGCCACCACCACCATACCACCGCCACCACACCACCACCGTCATACCACCACCAATTATTATTATTATTATTATTATTATTATTATTATTATTATTATTATATAATGAATAACACCACTACCACTACACCACCACCACCACCACCATAATATTTTTGATATATTATTAGTTTTTTTTTTTTTTTTGAAAAACTTAGCTATTTTTTATTATATTTAAAATTAATATTATATTATTATATATTATTATACATGTTGTAATATTCTAAATAAAATAATTAAAATGTTTAATTATACAATTCTACTCATTTTTCAGAAAATGAACCAAACACAGAAAAACAGTTTTCCATAATGCAACCAAACACTGAAAAGGAAAATGTTTTCCGGAAAATGACTCATTTTCCAGAAAACATTTTCCAGAAGTCATTTTCCTGCTTTCCAAACGGACCCTAAATTACATTAATATTGATTACGGTAATAAGAAAAAGTAAAAAAAAATCAAACACATATAACTCCAATCTGGAAATGATTGTCTTATATAGTAGTAATGAAAGTAAACAAAATAAGATAATAACATTACCATTATTATTATTATTATTATCATCATCATCATCATCATCATTATTATTATTATTAAGAAGGTAAGCAATTAACACGTTTGACTGTTAGCTTATTATCATAATAGTAACGTAATAATGTAATAAGATTGCCAGCATACTAGACAAGATTTAATAATAATAATAATAATAATAATAATAATAATAATAATTATTATTATTATTATTATTATTATTATTATTATTATTAAGGTAAGTAATTATGGAGAGGATTGGCAACATATTTTATTCTAAAATAATATTTCCGTAATTAATAGGTAAGTAATTATGGAGAGGATTTTCAGCATATTTTCTTTGTCAAAATAATTTTGAAGTATTGAATTATCATTTTTAATTATATATTTATGTTATTTCTAATTTTGAAGTATTGAATTATCATTTTTAATTATATATTTATGTTACTTAGAAATAGCAAAGCAAAATAATATCAACAAGTACAATATGAACACAGGCCCATATGACCCAACTATCCTTCCGTAAAACACATAACACACGCTATGATTAACGTGTTATTGTAATCAGTAATCTCGTAATCATTTTTCATTTTACTCTCTCTCGCACGCGCTCTCTCTCTCTCTCTTTCTGTCTCTTCTCAGTAGCTATCTTCTGCTCAAAAGACGATCACCGGCGATATATGTAAGTCAATCTCCTTTAGTTCTTTGCGAATTGTGACTGTGTGAAACCCATCTTCACTCATCTTCATCGCCATTTTTATTTATTTTCAATCTTCGACCTTAGTTCGTGACTTGCTCCTAGGCTCATTTGTGGTTACGCACTGCTATAGCCACGCCTCACAACTCATCTTCTCTGTTCGTCCAGATTCCCAGCGACTCAGGCATCTCAGATTCTGAACGGCTTACCGTCCGACCGTCGTCCAGACGTCCAGTCATCCGGCACTCCGGCAAGTAGATAACAACTTCCAAATACTCAGGTTTGAACCAATTTTCAACCATATTCTCTTAATATTAATTAGTTAAGTAGTTAACCCTAATTCCATAAATGACACATCCTTAATTCCCTAAATCTTCAATCTTCAACATTTTTTTTTTTTTTTTTTTTATGTATTCTTTGTATATTGTTCATATATGTGATGTATATTTCCCCAATTTTTGTCAATTTCTGTATAATCTTTGTATTGATGCTATGCTTCTCCATATCAAAGGAGTCTGTGAAATAGTGTGAATTGAATTTTTTGATTTGTGAATTTATTGGTTTGTCAATTATGCTGTGCAGTTGATTTGCTGCTTGCGTGGACAGTGGAAATTTTGGTTTACTTTGCCTAGTTAGTTTTAGTTATCATTTACGAAATTGTGATGAATTTTTATTCTAAATTTGTAGCTATTGCTGTGATTTTTGTTTTGTTTTGGCTTTTTTTGCGGATTGTTGTTTCACTATTTGTTGGTGAACATTTTTTACTCTTTTAAAGCCCATTTTCTGGTTTATTTTCAATAGCTTTTGATGATTATGGTTTTGTGATCATGTGATTGAATGTATTGTGTGAACAAGGAAACTAGAAAGTAAAAACAAATACTCTGTATAATATCTACGGCATGTCTGCATCAAATGAAAATCTTTTCTAACTCAGTAACTCTATAGAAATTCTATATGATTATCTCATTTCTGAAATTCTATATGATTATCTCATTTCTGAATACTTATATGCGATTCATTCGAAGATTGGATAGAAAACATATAAATTCGTGTAAATTTAGTTTTTATTTTTGGTTAGTTTTGTGTTTGTTGAGTTTTTGCTTTGAATTTTCAGTCTGTATCTAGAATTGAAATGAGTTGTAACATAAGAGAGAAGCATATCTGTGCCAATCAGAGTAACCAATCGGCGAAACCCGACCCGGAGCAGGGCAGCAGCAATAACAACACTGGCAATGCTGTAGAAAGGACTCTGTTATCTAAGTCCATCATGGAATCCGGGATCAAGCCTTTGAATTGTTTTGTGGGAGGTCATGATTCTGCCCAGAACACAAACCCTAGCCCGACTCCCGGCGCTGAGCTTGATAGCAGTGAGTGGGTTTACTGTGCCGAGGAGCAGGTGAAGGTTGAATGCCCGAAGAGGTTCAATTTTAGTCCTTTAATGAAGTCATTGCTGAAGAGGAATGTTGCGACTTTTGATGCTTGGATTAGGTCAAACTACAAAAATATACAAAATCAGTCACAGGCAGCATCAAGCCTTTTGCCATCTGGGTATTCTGAATCCCAGAATTCAAAAAATCAAGATGTTGTCAACTATGTGTTAAGTAGATTTGATTATTTAAATCTTGACGAGAGTAGAGAGCATGGGCATCCCCAGATGGATAAAGATGATGAGAATATTGTGAGTTTGATCCATCAAATCAAGGATCTTGAGAGGCAGAGAAAGGAGCGGGAGGAATGGGCTCATCAGAAAGTAATTCAAGTTGCAAGAAAATTAATGGATGACTTAACTGAGCTTGAGATGTTGAGGATGGAAAGGGAGGAGGCCCAAAGTGTGAAGAAGGGTAAGCAGACCATTGAGGACAATTTCACGAAGAAGCTCACAGAATTGGAGAATGCTCTCTGTAAAGCAAGTGGTGAAGTGAACCGTGTCAAATCTACTGTGAGAAAGCTTGAGACTGAGAATGCAGAAATTAGAGCAGAAATCGAGGCATATAAACTGTGTGCATCAGAATCTGCAACAACTTCTATGGAGGTTGCGAAGATGGAGAAGAAATTCCTGAAAAGGCTTTCAGCTTTGAAGAAACAGGTATCTAAACTTCAGGAGTATATTGCAGCTGAGAAACAGAAGTGTTCAGACTTGGCAGCACAGCTGGCTCAGGGTGAGGCAGATCAAAAGAAAGCTGAGGTTTGTTTTTAACTATATGTTTTTACTGGTGGCTGCATACCAGCTCTAAAAATTTCATGTTCCATTTATCCCAAGTGCTTTAAAATGTAAAATACATCTAAATATTTTAATCAACTGGGTGATTAGCATCAGCTATCCGAATTCCTTGACAAGACCAATTGCTTATTTTAGGCTCTATTCAGATTGGAATTCTTTGCAACAATGCAACCTAACCAATTTACATTTGCTTGAACAATTACGTTTGGTAATGTGTGTTTATCATAGAATGCTTGCTACTAGTTCATCTTATTGCATTATTTGATATTCAGAGATGCTAATTCATTATAGTCATTACTCTTCTTTGAACAACATCTTACGAAGATTCAAGCAAAGGGGAAACAGAGTAGGATTTAGAAGTCAAGCCACCTTGCTTTTCTTTTGAAAAATTCCAAAAATATTAATCTTTTCAAATTGTTTATTCAAAAGTATTCTGAAATATAAATGTAAGAAAACATGACAACCACATTCTTCAAATGAAAACATGAAACAGAGTAGGATTTAGAAGTCAAGCCACCTTGCTTTTCTTTTGAAGAATTCCAAAAATATTTTAATCTTTTCAAATTGTTTATTTAAAAGTATTCTTCTAAAATGTAAATGTAAGAAAACATGACAACCACATTCTGAATTAAATTTAAAATGACAACCACACCCAATGCACATTCTATGTCAATGTGTTACATTTTCAAAATGCTAGCGTATACAGTAAATTTTTGTGTCAATCTGTCATGTTTTCAAAATGCTAGCATAGACAATTAATTTTTGTGTCAATATGTTGCGTTTTCAAATTTCTAGCATCATAAAATAAGTTTTTGTGTCAATATGTCGGGTTTTCAAAGCTAGCATATACAATAAATTATTGTGTCAATATGTCACGTTTTGAAATGCTAGCATAGACCGTAAAATTTTGTGTCAATATGTTGCATCTTCAAAACTCTTGATATATATTTAATTCTAAAATTAGAGAATGTGACATAAGCGTCGCTCTATGTGAATGCGGTGTTAATGTTGCACTTTTTAGAATGAGGTTGTTATACTTTGGTGCGACGTGCTTTTTTTTTTTTTTTTTTAAAATACCATTTCACTAAATTCTTTAGAAGCATATACAATATGTTTTTGTGTTATATGTTGAGTTTTTTGAGCTACCGTATACAATAAATTTTTTTGTCAATATGTCGTGTTCTCAAAACGCTAGCATAGGCAATAAATTTTTGTGTTTATATGTTTTGTCTTCAAAATGCTATATATATATATATATATATATATATATATATATATATATATATATATATATATATATAATTCTAAAATTAGAGAATGTGACATTAATGTCGCCCGTTGTGAATGCGATGTTAATGTTGCAAATTTTGAGAATTCGGTTGTTATACTTTGGTGTGAGTTTTGTTTGTTTGTTTGTTTTTTTTTTTTTTTTAAAAACCATTTCACTAAATTGTTTATGTAGCATATACAATAAGTTTTCGTGTCAATATGTTGTGTTTTCAAATCTAGTGTATAAAATAATTTTTTGTGTCAATCTGTCGCATTTTAAAAATGCTATAGCATAGACAATAAATTTTTGTGTCAATATGCCATGTCTTCAAAACTCTAGATATATATTTAATTTTAAAGTTAGAGAATGTGATATTGTCGCCCGTTGTGAATGCGACGTTAAAGTTGCACTTTTGAGAATGAGGTTTTATACTTTGGTATGAGTTCTTTTATACCATTTCACTAAATTGTTTATGAAAATTTAATTTTTGAAGATTTATTTCTATTCTTCTTCTAGGTTTGCTAAAGATGTATCAAATTTTCTATTTCTTGTAGTCTTTAATATACTACCATTCTTATGCAGTAACTTTCCACCATTTCTGGAAAATAAGTCTCTCCATACTTGGTTGTTGACTGAGCCAAATTGCTTCTTTATCTGCTTGATTATTTATTATGTTTCTGCTTTAATTTTTGATTTGAATTGGGCTCACATTCTTGTTCAACTACTTCACCGTATTGAATTCAATTCCTGTAGCCAACTTGCTTTATATACTCTTTAACCTTTGTAGTTTTTTGATAGTTGCTGTGACCTGCCTGTTTGGGTGATTTTAAGTTGATTTTGTTATACATTTTCTCATCTAGTGATGCTCTTGATGTTCTATTATTGCTTGTGATGAATGACTGTGATATTCAATGAACTAAACTCAACTGAGTTTACTTTGGGATTTGTTTGCTGTTTGGAATCAATTATTCTATTATCTTTGTTTAGTGCTTTCCTTAGTCCTAAGTTCTTGATCTATCATCTGTGTCTGGAGTCTTAACAACATCTGCCCAACTAAGCTTTGATCTGCCCCGTCCCTGTTTGCCTATTTACTACTTGAAGTACTATATTATCACTTCTACCTGTGCCAATTCTGTGCGGCCTAAGTTGATAAATGTCTCAGTAAATTTTGTACTGTTTCTGTTTGATAGGAAAAGTGGTGCAAGGAACAGGCAGCCAAGGAGGTAGCCCGGACCCAAATAGAGGAAGAACAGAAGTTCAAAGAGGCTGCCGAGGCTGGTAACAAAAGGAAACTCGAGGCTCTGCGCCTCAAGGTAGAAATAGACTTCCAGAGGCAGAAAGATGACCTCCAACGCCTTGAACAAGATCTTTCAATGCTGAAATCATCCGAGCTAAGCACAGGGAACTCAGATGGGGTGAATGCCCCCAGGTTGCTGCATGAATTAGACAACGTTGAGAATTCTGCAGAGAAGGAAGTTGGGTCTGATAGGGAATGCATTCTCTGCTTGAAGGATGAGGTGTCTGTTGTCTTTCTCCCCTGTGCTCACCTAGTTGTGTGTGCCAACTGTAACAAGAGCTACGGGAAGAAGGGCAGAGCTGCATTATGTCCATGTTGTTGCGTCCCTATTGAACAGAGAATTCGTGTCTTTTAACTCAAGAACAGTCAAAAACTTGAAAACTCTAAATTGTTATCACTGTCTATAGAGCAGCGAAGCCCGGCAGATGATTCCCATACAACAGCTTCTTCCGACCAGTGTGCTGGGAGTGCCAGCTTTCTAAGCATGTAATTCGCAGGAAGGGTGCTTACTATTTTTTTGCAAAAGTAATACGAAAACAGGAAAGAAAATAAAGGTAATTGTAGAGCAGGGAAGAGACTCTTGCCTGGTTACGAGGAAGAAATATGAGGAGAAGCTGCATAGCATAGTGTATTAGTGTTAGTACATAATTAATATGAAAATATTAATTTTGTTTTTATTGGCATATGTTAGTGTTTTTATTGGCATAGCGTAGTCTTAGTGTATGCAATATTGAATCAGCCTAATTATATGGGATGAAGAAAGTGGTGGTTGGAATGAAGATAAAGTTCAAGATGAGCTGGTAACAAATTCCTTGGTTATACATGTGGTTGAGAATCTATCTCCACTATTCTTGCGTGAAATTGTTGTTCGATCATGGGATTAATTTCTCTAATTAACATTATAAATAGGAAATTCTGTAATGAAGACATTGAGGTTTTCAGGAGATAAAATTAGAAATATTATTTGGGATAAGAAACTTCAAAGTAGGGACATACTGGAGTACTATTGAAGCTGCTCCACTTTATATTTGTACAAATTGTGTTAAAATTCGGGTTAGTTACAGTTTGTGTAATGAGTAGAATTAGTTATTTGTAAATTTTTCAAGTTTGTAAGGTTAAAGTTTAAATATGTGGTAGACCTACATAATTTCACATCGTGGTGATGTGGTGCCGTGAGCCTAAGAGCCGAAGACATTAACCCCAATTCAAAGAAAAAAAGAACACATTTTTACAGATAAATTAAATCAATACAAATTTCTAGTCTTTATTTCTACTTTCATGATTTCATCGATATCCTTACTATTCTTGTATTCTCTCACAAGATTTGTTACGTATAATTTTTTAGTATACCAAACATTGTCATCTTGTCCCGAAATGAACGGCGAACATGAGTTCGTGAATTCAATTATTGTCATTGCCCTTCTCAGTTAAGCTTGTCACGAATAATTTTTTTAGTGTGATTTTATAGATTTATTTAGAATGTCAAGGTGACGATGTGATAAGTTTTGTGCAAGAATAAATTATATTTGACTGGTTGGAGGTCAAATGAGTATATTGACACACCAACCACCCGATCAAATTTATGCGTCTACTTTCTGCGGCACGTTCTGGAATAATGTGTCACGAAAAGTAACCGCATTTTTTTGAGAAACAAAAATGTAGCGTTTTTATGTATTTATTTATTATTTTTTCACTATATTTTTTTTTTCAACTATACACTACACTTTTATAAAGAAGTGTGGTGAAAAGTTATATTCCTATATAGTTAACATTTCTTTCGTCTGTAATTAACATATTATGTACTTATATTTAACAAATTATTTACCTTCAATTTATTTTTAGACACAATTTATTAACTAAATACATAATATATTAACTATAGGCACATACTTTTTAGATAAGAATCCGCAATGCAAAGTAACCTGATCTATTGTATAACAATTGAAGATAATTAACACCAATACAAACTATGAATCAATACACATGAAACTCACCTCAATTTAAAATGTATGATGTGCCTGAAACTTACATTGGTTTAAAATGTATGCTATTAAACTATTAAAGTAATAAATTTATACTAAAATGCATTGGCTCTTGTGAAAAGCTCAACTAAATTGACTTATTTAGTATAATGAAAAAATCAATTTAATATGCCAAAAAAAAAAAGATTCGTACATATTTTCTTAATTTTTATTATGTTTTTTTTTTAAAAAAAATAATAAGAAAAGTTTACAGTAACTATTTAAATGTGTGCATTAAATAAATTTCGTTTAGAATTTTTGTCAACAAACATTCTTACTATGTTTATATTATTGTTTGATGTATCAATATTTCAAAAATATAATTACATGGTCAAAAATATTTACAATTTACAAGTTATCTATTTTTCTTATTTTATCTATTTATTAATTATTAATCAAATTAAGTCCTAACTAATTTGTTTAAACCTTTTTTTTTAAAAAAATATTTTTAAAATTGATTGTTTTTGTATTCAATAAGTCTTTTAATGTAAAAATTTTAAAATATAGAAATGGTATAGACTAATATTAAATTAAATATTATAAAAAATTATACGATAAATAAGTAGAGCTAAATTTCTTTAATCAAATTTCGTGACATAAAATGCCAATATTGAAGCATACTTTTTGCATATCTTAGAATACTATGTAAAACAAATTCAAAATTTTATATCATCTATAACAAAACCATTGTAGAAGGCAAGTAGGCAACATAGCATGAATACAAACAGTGTTCAAAGAAAACAACACACTAGTACAACTTTTAAGATCAGCAATACACCATATCACTTCTATGAGATAAGTTTGGTAAAACGGTAAAGCTCGCTTACCTAAGGATTAACTCTGCATAACAATGGCGGCCTTTGGTGTTCAGTTTTTCTGCAGCGCCATGAAATAAGCTTCAATTCCTTCGATCAAGCAATGGACCATTCCTTTTTGAGGTCCGATTTCAGCTCCTTCACCTCATTCTCCGGCAAAATCACGGTCACAAGCCTTCCTCCCGCACCGTCTTCTCCGACATGTCTCGGCGCCGGAAGCACCAAAACGCAGCCATCGTCGCCGACTCCATCGATTTGGTAGCTTACCTTCACCGGCTTCTGTCCTCTCCATTCGAATCCGTAGAAATCGGCGTCTTCCATATCGACGAACGTTAAATTCGCTCCGTAGAAGATGACGTCTGCGTCGCCGCGCTCTTTCTCCATCGCCTCATCGATTTTCCGGCGCTCGTCGGCGGCTTCATGCTTCAGCAACCTCGCAAGCTCCGCGAGATTGGATTCTCCGATGGAGTCGCCGCCGCGAAGTTTCACTGTACTAACCGCTTGGCTGTTGCCGACACTGCCGTCTTTGATGTGGGCCTGTGGGCCTTTCCTGCAAACCGTCACCACTTTGGGCTCAGGCCCATTACGATGCCGGGCTACGGCCTGCCAAATGATCGCGGAGAGTAACTCAAATGGGCCGTAGTCTCCTATTGTGGACCTCATTTGGCCCAATTGTGACGGCGCCACGAAGAAAGAGAAACGCTCCATTGTGCAATTGTTGGTGACCGTCCAATGATCTCCAACTGGGCCAACTTTCTTGATGGAAAGTGGATCTTCTAGAACTTTCGGTAGTTCTTGATGGGCCGTTGCCTTAGTCAGTGATTGGGCCAAGTTCATGGGCTGGGCCGGTTTGGTACCGGCAACAACTTTTCCCAACATGTTCATGAACTCCGCAGCTGAGAATACGTCACCAAGAACATGGGCCCAGGTCAGGCCCAATGCTACTCCACCGCACTTAAATTTATTATACTGCATAAAAAGTTTACATGGCTGAAATTTTTTAAAATAGGAAATTTCGACATCAAATGTTATTGTACACTAAAATAATATGGTTTCTCTAATTTTAAAATTCTATTAATTTGAATTTAATTAGTTTAATATAAAATATAATTTGTGATGTAAATAATAATTTTTTAGTAACATTATTTTTATGTTGTTGTTATGTTTGATATATTTTAATTTTTAATTAATCCATATACAATATTAGTTTTGTTTTAATCGTCTTGATGAGATCTTCCAAATGATATAATTTATTTATAATAATGTAACATTTATGTTTAAGTATTTAACAAAATATATAAATACATAAAAACAAATAAAGGATAAAAAAGAATTAATAAATACAAGTAGGGGCAAAACAGAAATAAAAATTTATCCAAAAAAATGTCGTGAATGAATGGTGTTGCGCCATATTTAGCACATCACTGTTTACGAACGGCAAAAAAATTACCAATTTGGTGTTATGTTGGAATTGAAAAACGGCAATTTTTTTGGCGATGTGGCGCTAGATTGGAGATTGCCTTAAATGTTATATCAAACTTTGTACTCACACATTTTATTATTTATTTGAGTCATTCATATTTGAAATTAATGATAAAGTTGATTTGTCGGGTCAATTTCTAAATATTCTAATCCAACCATGATTTTTATCTTTATTTAAATTTTACTTATGCTGTTATTTTATCTCACGATTCTTGATTTTGGGCTTCAATTATTAATTATTAATTATTAATTAACACCAAAGTAATTAATTATTGCATCTATCTTGTCAAAATTTGTCACTTAGGAACCAGCTACTCATGCGAGTATTATTTCATCTATCATATTTTAACTATTACACTTACTTTGATTTACGAAAAAATTCGTAACTACTATCCAAATGTGTATTTTGAGTGAAGTCAATCTTAGCCCACAAATGACCACAATGATGTAAACCAATCTAAATTGTTCATAGTTTATTAAAAAAAAAAAAACTAATAAACATTTCTCACCAAGAGTCAAATTTGTAATTATTATACTTATTTTGATTTATGAGAAAACTCATAGTTACTCATGGATGAAGCCGATCTTAATTGATAAAGAACTACAAGCTAAGTTGTCTATAGTTGATCGGCTCATACCAAGACAAATAGACAGATCTCACTACGATGACAATATACCCCGTTCCTGTCGGGAACGGGAAAAAATTTCGGAAATCAGGGGCGAGGATGAGAATTTTTGAAATTCCCCGGCGGGGACGGGGATACCCCTCCCCACCCCGCCCCGTCCCGTCCCCGAATAAATAAATAAATAAAATATATATATTACTTATTTATTTATTTTAGTTAATATATATATATATATATATATATATATATATATATATATATATATATATATATATATATATATATATATATATATATATATATATATATATATATATATAAATTTTTTAAATTAAGACTTAAGTTTTTATTTTTTAAAATTAAAAATTACACTTATTTTAAATTTTGATTAAGAGTTGATCGGGGACTGGGAATTCCCTTCCCCGCCAAATTCTCTGCGGGAACAGGAATGGGGACGGGGACGGGGAGTATACTCCCAGCCCCCGCCCTACCCTGTTGCCATTCGTAGATCTCACAAACAATCACACTTAAAACTTTGTAATTACCTAGTCAAATGTACTTTTTCTTATTTATTTAACACTCATAATTCTTTATAATGAAGTAATATATGTTTTATTAGACTAGATTTGGAAGTAAAAAAATAGTAAAATGAAATTGGTGAGACACAAAAGGGGAGGTCGGAGTAAAGAAAAACCTGAAAAAGAAGAGGCGGGGAGAAGAAAAGCTCGGGTCCGATGACCTGATTGGGAGTGAGGAGAGTCTCAAGGGCGGCGCCGGCGTCTCTCATCTGAAGCCACTCCTCCAAGCTCTTATCGCAGTAGGCCTCGACGAATCTGACGCCGCAGTCGTTGCACTTGATGTAGGGGCGGGCGGAG